TTGGCAAGGTGAGCTAACTGTTGTCAAGTTGAAGGTTAGCAGGTAAGATTGAGTTAGGGTGAGTACTGAGTACCTAGTACCTGTAACTGGGTGCTAATGCTATGCAGGTCTTGGGTAAGTTGCAAATAAGTGTGATGATTGAGGTTAGGTCAGGTTAGTCCGGTATGAATTGATCAGGTCACATTTTTTATGGACACTTGGCAAATTAAAAAAAAAAACTAGCATGACCTAATCTTAGCTAACCCAACTATACCTACATAACTACTAAACTACTGAGCACCTACCTAAATTGTGCCTACATCTCATACCAAGTCAAAATAAAGTTCCTTTCTGGAAGATTACCCTCAGTCCCTCAGTACTTTTTATCCCAGCCCTGTGAAAACCTAATACTTCTAAGTTCTGAGTCCCTTCTGGCCATCCACAGAAAGAAATGCTGACAGCTTTGCTTGTGTATATTAGACCAATAATCACCATCACGAATGACTATGAACACATGACATGATCACATCGTTGCATGGATTTTCACATTGACAATTTTACTTAAATCCTTTTTTCAAGAAATGCAAAGTAATGATGAACATCAAATTAAACATTAAGCTGATTTAGTGATCCAAGCTTTCTTCTCCAGTAGCAATAGAATGATCGCATGTTTCATTTGCCAGACACTGAGTACCTAATGCACATTACCATCTGCATAGCAAAGTAAAGCTGCCTGGGTTCGTTCATTCTAGAATTTTTCACTTGATAGTTAGCACTCATTGATCTTGCTGCTGTAAGTTATATTTCAATATTCATACCAATACATCTAATACGCGTTCATCAGCCAACATTTACTAGCTTGATACTGCGCGTGCGCGTGCTCTTCAGTATTGATCTCCTGCAATAACTATTATAGCTTGTTTTCGGCCAATAAGCTCTTTTAATTTTACTTTTTTTCTTGCTGATAAGTGAGCCAGATCAACTTGCGTTTATCAACCAACATTTCCCAGCTTCAACCTGATATTACTCAGGACTCAGGACTCTTCAGTCTCCTGTATACTTCAACTTCAACTTGGGATCGTTTTCAGTCAACATGCTTCTTTAATATGATATAATTCAGTCACAAGGGATTGAAAACTTCCAACAAAACGACATACTAGAGTTCGAAAACCACCAGATAAAATGCCTTGGAACGGAGCAGAACGGAGCCAAGTGGTGCTCCATTTGTTTGTTTACAATAATTGTAGTGCTGATGTATTGTTTTAGGACTCTAGCGGTCGGCTTATAAAAAAATGAAACATTTTTACAAAATTTGTATGGTAATTAATATTTTTCTGGAAGAACTAAAATATTCAAGAGCCAAACACTATGAAATACAGGAATCGGAACGAAAAAGTAACCCAAAAATCCAGCCTAATAACCGGCTCCTAAAACTGCGGCAAAATCAGCACTTTTCCCCGCAACTCGTTGTCCAGACGTAAATATGCTATCCTACCTTAGGTAATTTTTTTTTGGACACCCTGTGACAGATAGGCGATATAGGCAAGATTCTATAGCCTTGGGCAATTGTTGGGCAAGATTATTTATATATACACTGTGGGGCAAGATATAGGATTGTGTTGGGATTGTGACAGATTGCAGGCCAGTAAAATTTGAAGTGGGAAATAGCTCTAGAAAATGGGGATGAGAGTGCAAAATAATTTTCATTTGGAGGTCAGTTCGCACCCAAATTGACCAATTATCTGCTTAACCAATTATCTATTAAAATCTGCTGTAACCTGGACTGGAAGGTCAACCAATGACCAAGAAAATTAAAATTGGGTAATTCGGCTTTCTCTCGTTACTCACGGGCGGGGCGCTTGTTTTATCCGCAAAGCTCTAGCTTGATGAGGGGCCGAACGGCAGGGGTGTCCAACCGATACCTCCTGGCCCGCGAAGGCTGCGCCAAGCACTGACCCGGAGTGGGCTAACTGGTCATCAAAGCAATTTGAAGTGTTTGTAAAGTAATATAAAGGCGCGGGTCGGGTGGGCTACCATTTGTATGTTTTATATTTTATTTTTAGTTTTTAAAAAAATACTCTTTCAGGGCTGTGATGAAAAATAAGTGGCCTAAATCTGATGACAAAACAGGATTTGGTGGTACCCTAGGTTTGGCTCCTGGCATGATTTGGCCCCCCAAAAACGCAGGTCTGGATTCGCCAGTACCAGTCGGGGAATCTATGGTAAAATCTGCTATTTTTAGCAGTCTGCTATTTTTAACAGAAATCTGCCAAAAATTACAGGCAAGACTGGTACAGACTGGTAGACTGGTACAGGCAAGACGTTGTGCAAAACCATTCAAAGACCGTCTCTTTCAAACAAAAGTGCCTGCAACATTTGCTTGCTTTTTTTTTGCTTAATTGTTATAAAATGCTTAGTTAATCTTTTTTAGGATAGGTGGTCAAAATAAAGACCCCGGAGCAGCTGAAAGCGAGGAATAATGACAGGTAGAGGCCTTTAACAGAAATCTGCCAAAAATTACAGGCAAGACTGGTACAGACTGGTAGACTGGTACAGGCAAGACGTTGTGCAAAACCATTCAAAGACCGTCTCTTTCAAACAAAAGTGCCTGCAACATTTGCTTGCTTTTTTTTTGCTTAATTGTTATAAAATGCTTAGTTAATCTTTTTTAGGATAGGTGGTCAAAATAAGGACCCCGGAGCAGCTGAAAGCGAGGAATAATGACAGGTAGAGGCCTAGAGGGTCTGGTAAAAGGGCAGAGATTGCATTGAGCATAAAATGAAAAAAATTCTGGTATTCTCTTAGCAGACTTGCTGCCATATCTAGTTAGGTTAGGTTGTAGGTTGGTAGGTTGTAGGTGGTAGGTTGGTAGGTTGTAGGTTGGTAGGTTGTAGGTAGTAGGTTGTAGGTAGGTTAGGTCAGGTTGGATTATGTTTTGTTATATTTTAACTGTGAAAAGACAATTGTGGCGCACATGAGACAGATATGGCAGCGAGGGTGACGTCTGCTAAGAGAATACCTACCAAAATTCCACCCCCACTGCCTTAGGGTATACACATGCCATCACCCACCTAGGACCTGTCTAAAAAAAAAACTCAGAATTATACAGCGTGCTTCGCCTGCAGTGGTGTGATGTTTGAGATGAGTTTGCCTCGATGCTCCAGCATTGACGGCGTCCGAGTTTGTTGATGTTTCCATGAAGACCCAATACATGCTGTGTGCAGGGCGGTGCAGTGCAGCACCGTGAAACACCACCCTGACATTTATAAGGGTATTTATGGATTTTTTTTTGCATAGAATCACTGATCACATGGGGTGATCTTGCTTTGATACCTACCGTAAACCGGGGTGACTATGATCATAGATCAGTTTCGGGCCAAAAAATGAGCATTTTGCAGCTGTGCACTGTATTTTCTATGCCAATGGTGAAATAAAGCAATGAAGCATTATAGCAGACACTTAGGTCATGTTCAAGCCACTGATTGTTTTTTTGTCATTGCCATGAAGTATGAACTCTCTAGCATCTCCAGCAATAATAATGGTAAAGATGAGAAAGACCCAGATAAAGAAAGAGAAAGCAAAGGTTCAGATACTATACTGAGAAATGAAGAATGATCATTGAGCTGCTCTATCTGTGGTAATTGGAGCATCACAGGGAAGTGAAAAAGACAATCAACTGGGAGGGGCACGAGCAGTGTGGCAAGTGACACCACAGCCACCTGCAGACAGAGTGTGATGCATGGTCATAGAATACTAGTGTGATGGAGGACAGGTAGCCTGTTGGCTTAGGACATCTGTGACTGTTACTTTACATTGACGTCAGAGGTTAAAGTGGCTAATCTTGCTGCTTATAGCTCAGTAATGTGAGTTTAGGACTGGAGCATGCAACTTTATTTTAATGCTTAAATGATTCATAGTTTTGCTGTGAAATGTGTGAATTTTTGTCAAGCAAAGCCTTTGATTTTATTTAAAACATATAAGCTGATCACACAAGCCCCTTCTGACTTCTGAGGGCTCCTATGGCACATGTAAGGTGATTTTACTGTAGTGATAAAAGTTACCCCGACCTGTAGGTGAGAATGATCACTTCTTTAAAATAAAATGAAATATTTATGAAAAATTTCCAGACATTTACTGTGCTCAGTTAGATAGACAATTGTCCCATTGGTATCATGAAACAGTTTCCAAAGTGAAATCTCAAGTGATATAGAAAATAGGTATTGAACCATAATGGTCAAAAGTGATACAAACTCATCCCGGTTTACGGTATCAATTAAATATACCGAATTTAAGCCTATTGATAAGAAAGCCACCAAGCTGCATAGAAAAATTGGAATGGTTGTGCTTTGTGAATTGGAGTGGTTTCGTATGATGCTAGTGAATGCTTAACCCGCGCACCGACAGGGGTGTGGTTGAAATTCAGTGTCCCAAAATTTGTTGATTTGGGAGTGAAACGACATCCGAATGAAAATCATTTTGCACTCACCACCAATTTTTCAGAGCAATTTCCTCCTCCCAATTTTACCGAGGAAAGCATTTGCGAAGATGGTCGTTTCACACAGGGCTGCGGAGTCGATGGATTTTCGGCGACTCCGACTTCGACTCCGACTCCGGCTTTCAAAAACGAGCTCCGACTCCGACTCCGACTCCGGGCAGCATTGTCGACTCCGACCGACTCCAACTCCCGAGTCCCGACTCCAACTCCGCAGACCTAGCAGGGCTGCGGAGTCGACAGATTTTCGGTGACTCCGACTCCGACTCCGGCTCGGGTTTCTAAAATCGACTCCGACTCCGACTCCGGTCACAACTGTCGACTCCGACCGACTCCGACTCCGACGCCGACTCCGACTCCGCAGCCCTGGTTTCACATCATACATTTTGCCACACTTTTATAGAAGTTTATGCTATCTATCTCTTTTCACTCTTTTTGGGCCTTATCTGACCAGCTATTTTCCACTCTCATCCCCCTTATTGCTGATAAATTTCTCCCTGATAAAGTTCACAGCTTTCACACTGTTTTAACCAAGTTATTCTTTTCAGGTTGTTGTCTAAAAAACTACAGTCATCAGTCACAATTCACAGATGTCATCTTTAAAACTAGCATTATTGCTATGGATCTGGAGCTGTTGGAAAGCTCATGGAATGGATGTACACATGGCGGCGTTCAGCCAACCAAGACCGAAATCTCTGGAATCTCTTGGAATAAACACACAGCATTATCACAAAAGTGAAGCTAAGCTGTCAACTTTAGCGAAGCTGGCTGCAGAGTATCCTCATCTGCTGAGCGTGTATTCTATTGGTGATTCAGTGCAAGGACGGCCACTCCTGGTGCTTAAAATCAGCACCGACAAAGAGCAAAGGAAGCTGGAAAAACCCATGTTCAAGTATATCGGAAACATGCATGGAAATGAGGGAGTTGGGCACGAAATTCTGCTCTACCTCACTGGTCACTTGCTTTATAATTATGGGAAGGATAACAGAATTTCGCGGCTGATTAACACTACGGAAATCCATATTATGCCTACGATGAATCCCGACGGTTTTGAACTCGCTCAGCCTGGCGATTGTAATGGATATGATGAACGTTCTGGGAGGACAAATGCCAACGGAGTTGACCTGAACAGAAATTTTCCAGACCAGTTTCGGACAAAGCCACTAACGCCGGAGACCATCATGGCCGATCGTGAGCCAGAAACTCTGGCTGTCATGACGTGGATCATCAACAACCCGTTCGTGCTGTCGGCAAACCTGCACGGCGGCTCCGTGGTGGCCAGCTATCCATACGATGACACGCCACAGCCGAACCCGCGAGGCTGCTGTGTGGCCAGCGACGGGCCCGATACGGCGCTGTTCCGCCGGCTGGCGGCCATCTACGCCCAAGGACATGCGTTCATGCACCGTGGAGAGGACTTTTGTCACATGAATGAGAGGTTTGCTGGTGGGATTACAAATGGCGCCATGTGGTACGACGTGCCGGGTGGAATGCAGGACTTCAACTACGTGTTCAGCAACTGCGTGGAAATCACCGTCGAGTTGTCGTGTTGTAAGATGCCACCAGAGTCCAAACTTCTCACAGAATGGAAGAGCAACAAGAAAGCCCTGTTGGATTATATTGAAGCAGTCCATATGGGCGTCAAGGGCCTCGTATTTGACGAGAATAACAATCCTATCCACGGCGCGTTTGTTGGTGTAGAGGGCATCGACCACAATGTGACGACCACCGAGCGAGGCGAATACTGGCGCCTTCTTCTTCCTGGAGAATATACGCTCTTTGCCAGTGCCGTAGGCTTCCAGGCGATGCGTGCTTCGATCACGGTGAAGGATGGTGAGACATCACGACATGTGTTCCATTTACCTCGCCGCTCGGATTCTTCGGCACCGGACAGCTCGTCTGATCAAGTGGCCGCGGCCATAGCCGGAGGCGCCTTTGTGTCAAAAATCGGTCCGTCGGCGACGCCTCCGCCGCCAACTGTGTCGAGCAGCACCGCCTCGCCACCCACCAAGGAACCGGAACTGGCGCAGACGCTGTCGGCTGAGTTTCTCACGCCGCCGGACTGGCAGCATCACGACTACGCCAGCATGGAGTCGTGGCTGAGGGACCTGGCCACGCGCTACCCTGACATCACTCGGCTGTACTCTGCCGGCGTCAGCGTGCAGAACCGCCAGCTGTGGGTGCTGGAGGTCTCCGACAATCCTGGACGGCACGAGCCGGGTGAGCCAGAATTCAAGTACGTGGCCAATATGCACGGCGATGAAACGGTGGGACGCGAGATGCTGTTGCTGCTGGCCCGCTATCTTTGCGAAACGTATGCCACCAGTAATCAAACGAGGGACATTGTGAACAAGGTACGTGTTCATATTATGCCTTCAATGAATCCTGATGGGTATGAAAACTCGACAGAGAATGGGCCCTTCTCACAATTCGGACGGATGAACGCACATGGCATCGATCTCAACCGCAACTTCCCTGATCGCCTCGGAGTTTTCGCTCAAAATGCAGAGCAGGAGCCCGAAACAGAGGCCGTGATGCGCTGGAGTCGCCAGTACCCGTTTGTGCTTTCCGCTAACTTCCACGGCGGTTCGGTGGTAGCCAACTATCCCTGGGACTCTGACAGCACCGGAACACCCGGCGTGTATGCTGCCAGCCCCGATGACGCCGTCTTCAAGAAGCTAGCCAAGGCTTATAGCTTTGCTCACTTGACAATGCACAAAGGAAAAGGCTGTGGTTGGATTGATGGGGAGGGATTTACAGACGGAATCACCAACGGCAATCATTGGTACATCCTGAATGGAGGTATGCAGGACTGGAACTATGTCAACACGAATGACTTTGATCTGACTCTAGAGATAAGCTGCGTCAAGTTCCCGTTGGCTAATGAGCTGCCTCATTTCTGGAACGAGAACAAGAATGCGTTGTTAACATTCATTGAGCAAGCGTTGATTGGGGTATCAGGCTTCGTGAAAGACACTAATAACAACGCATTGTCGAACGTCACCGTGTCTGTGGAGGGCATCACCAAAGACGTAGTAACGGCGAAGGACGGAGACTACTGGCGACTTCTGGTGCCTGGCCAACACACGCTCATTTTCCACGCACCAGGGTACCGGACGGAGCGAAGGCAGGTGACCGTGCCCGATCTCGAGTCTCAGCAGGTGAACATCACTCTGGCAGAGCAGGACGTTGTGCATTGGTCAACCGAGGATGACGTCATACACCCGAAAAATCAAACTCAGTCTTCCGTAGCTGGATCACCGGAAGAAGGTGAGCAAATATGAACAATCGGCCGTTTGTACTGTCGCCAACCGCTGGAGCATTAGCTGCTTTGTTTTTACCGTGTTTATCCTGGAAAATTAGAAGCGGCTTGTGCTTCCTTATTTTGATGTTTCATTCTTTGTCTACCATGCTCCATTTAAGATGTATCGACCTGCAACTCTGTGATTAGCCTGCCTTGCTAGTGACTGGTGGGCGGGGAAATCACTGCGTTTTATTTACGTTGTGTATTTGTTGTTTGCTTTGTTAAGTGTACTCAGACCATGTTGTTTTTTATGCTATTCCACCCGTCTGTAATTAGTTCACTTTGGAAACTGGCGCTTTCTTGCGGTTCATTGCTTCACATGATGTATTTCATACCCGTACCATGCCGTTACATCTGGTTCGTCTCGTTTTAGGATTGCTATAGCGATTTGATTACCAGGAACAGCAATACTCGTTATATCAAACAACATGCGCACGTGTGACGTACATATGATGTGTCACCGGCTATCCGAGCAGTAAGTGTGTACATCCACTCGTATACTCTAAAGAGCTAATAGGTGATTGCTCGGTAATTGCTTTTCGCATGGTTTAGTGCACTCGGAGCAGTCCGTATGCATAGCAATTCTGCTCCGGCTCCTTATACAGTTACAGTCCTGCTCTTTGAATCGCTAGCTCAGTCCAGTCATCTCAGGCTCCTCCTTGCTGTTAGCTTCCTTTTGTGTGAGAGGTACCTACTGGCATAAGTCTAAGTAATTATACAGGTGCATGTTCGTGATTCACTCACCTGCTGAGACGTCCAATTTGCTCATTTTTTCTCCTGTGGTAGCCCCTGGTATACTGATGCATCTACATAGTTTGGTTGACGCTGGATTTGGAAGCGCTGTCTGGCCTTTTCAATGATCTCTCCTCTATTCTAGCTTTCCTGGGGCACGGGCATGATACTATTTTCCCTTTGAGAGGCAGCTCAAGGCCCAGTGTGTGTTGGTGGCGTCTTCCTCCACCGTGTCATCGTCGCTGAAACTCGCTATCGAGTTCGATGCCTGGCTGAACTCGCTTCCAGACAGGGTCTTCCACCCGCTGTTCATTGGTCGGAACCGACTGTGGTTCTCTTAGTAGGTACTTTTGAACTATGGCCCAACTTAGGTTCTGATGAGGGTTGGGTCTGCTTTTTTCAGTAGGTACGGCTCTCGCGAGATTAAGCGGTAGGTTTTGCACTTTTAGATTTCCGGCTATATCTCAGAAACTAATCGATCTACGATGAAGCCATGCCCGGCTTGTGAACCAACAAGTCGATCGCATCTTCAACACTTAAAAGCTTAAGACGACGAAGATATAGCCTGAAGTACACTAAATTTTATAGGTGCAAAACCTACCTCTAAAACCCGCGAGACCTGTAGATACTATATAGTTTCCTTTATGTTTTCCTACTCTGCTACGTCTTGCCAGTTGCCATAGCCCGCATGGTAGCGCATATTGAATCCTGGCAACTAACTAGGAGTGGATGTCGGACTGCAGACCTCATGCTTCATTCAGTCGTATGCTTGGGTACATGCTTAGGAATCCAGTACAACACTGAAGTTCAAAACGTTCAGATCAATGGCAGCGTCTGTTGCTAGGTACTTGGGACAATTCAGGCACAACATTCCTAATGTCGTATCTGAGAGGCGTAATTTGCATATCTTGGTTACATGTGGATAACTCATTATCGATTTCAATATAAATTGTCCTAACATGACTATGCCTGTGTCTCTGTGCTCGGGCATAGCGCTTTAGATACTCTGTAGGAAAGGTGTGTTTCATTGAGGACAGTAGTGCCGCTCGCTTGACTTTGGCAGGCGACACTCTGTTGTTTTATCGATATTTGACTGTCTAAGGCCAGCTTCTGTGTGTTGTTATTGTGTATTGTTGCGACTTTTAACTCTTGAGTGAGCTCTGGGTTTTCCTGACGTAATCGATCCGGTGCGTGGTCCTTAGTGCCGTCTTCATTTGAGGTTTGATTCTAGGTAATGCTCGGCGGCTGGATGGTTCGACTTAGGGTCGTTGCCAACATTATCCTTGCCCTGACCCAAAATGGCCTTTACTGGTGTTTCCAAAGGGCGGCTAGTATGCCATGGTCGGCGTCCATCGAAAGTGCTCGAGGAGCAATCGGATATAGGTATAGCTGTACACCGCTTAGTGGTTCTAAATCATCTTTTCGTGTCAGTCCTAATAGCAATTCGTTTCCTATGTGTTTTATAGAAATGTGTATCAGTTCATTTGGTTGGCATAGAAATGCTCATGATGAGATTTGTTGCTTTGTTCGACATGTACGTCCCGTGGCGGGTACTTTAGGTATACCTACAGCTGTGGTCAATCACACGTCTTGTTCGTAGATATACGTGAGTAGGAGCGCGTTTTTTGTTGCTCATCATTCGTGTGGTATGTTTAGCATAACATTGTTTCAAGGTGGCAGGTTGTGCTTTTAACTCGGGAAGGTCTGTGACCGTCATGCTTTTTAGAGTGATAAAACGTCAGAACCGATTCGATATATGACAGGCTGTACAACTGAAGAACATGGCACAGTAGAAATAGAGCTGTAGAAATAGTGGGCTGTGGTGATTGGATTTCATCTCGTAGTGCACGCGCATTGTTATGTCCTGTAAAATACACCACCGGCGGGAGCCGGCTACTTTGTGTGACATACTTTTGTTTACCAGTTAGCATGGGCGTCGAAAGCGGGTGGGGGCAGTAGCGGCGGAACACCTTCAATTAACCCGCGCCCCACTGGGGTCTGCGTATAACACGCCCTACTGGGGGGGGGGGGCATTCATAGCCCCCCCTCCTAACTCCGAAACTACTGGGCCGATCGTCAAAATTCAAACGGCGTCTGATAGCCCCGGAAAAACTGTCGAACGAAACCTAATTTCATTGACCTCGAGGTCACCGATGACGTCACAGGTCAGGTCAAAGTAAAAATTATTAGCATTTTGGCTTCTTCACGTTTTGGGCTCTGGCCGCCGTCTTACAAGTCAGATCAGGCTCATTTTTGGTTCAAACACTCGTGAGCAGATGCTCTAGATACTCTGAGGGTACCAAACCTGTACTTTGATTTTCAGGTCAAGGTCAGGTCATCACAGGTCACGAAAATATTATATCATCCGTCGGTCACGTGACATATGTTTTATGGTCCATTTAGGCCAAACATTTCGAATTTGATGTCGTCTGTGTCATTCGAGGTCATTTTGAGTCAAATTTAGCTTAGTTCAGGTCACTTTCAGGTCAAAAAAGGTCAAATTTTGAAGTTAAAATTTTTCAACAAAAAAGGTGTCTATTGGATGCAGTTTTGAGCTCAGGAACACGATGGTGCTATTTATATTGGCGTACGATGTCAAATTCGTGCTGAAAAATTGATTTGAAAAATTGATAATTGTTAATTTTTTGCAATAATGCGTATAACTTGGCCATTTTTGAAGATATTTAGCTAAAACTTGCTAGAGTTAGTCATAGTAATGCGTTCTATCACATATATTCCGGTTTTTTCGAAAAGTCAAAAAATGTTTGAAAAAAAATGTAAAAATATAAATTTTGAGTTTTATTATACAAAATTTTCGAAATTTTCCAAATTTCGAAAATCCGAGATAGCAATTTGATAGCGCAGTCTATTCTGAGCCCTCTCATGCAAAGAAATTGGATCTAGCTTAAAAACTGAGCTCTTGGGAGCGATTGCCGTGGTTCAATGTTTTGCGTCGAAATCGGCCGAACATGACGTCACTCTGACGTCATTTCCGGCCGACCTATGGTAGCTACGAAGTTCAAATTTTGACACAAGGTGTCAAATTGATGCAGCCGAAGGTACTGAAAGTTTGGCGTCGATACGTCAAGCGGTTTGGAAGTTATTGCAGAAAAACGGGAGGGGGGGCTATAAATAGCCCCCCCCCAGTGGGGCGCGGGTTAACGGGGGACACTGCTGACTTTTGGTCCCATTCTTTCCATGCAACGCCCATAGGGCTAATGTTAAAATGCCAAAATCAAAGGGGGGCACGGTGCCCCGGTGCCCTCCCCGTTCCGCCGCCTATGGGTGGGGGGGGGGGGGGACGCGTCCCTCCCAGTCGAGGGATCTGGGGGGACGTCCCCTCCAAAAAATTACTCAAGAATGTTTTTTAAAAAAGTTGCTATTTGCAATGGTTATTCACAATAGAGCTAGGTAAAAAGTAATATAGCTTCTTTAAAAGAACGCTGAATGCTGGCCACGTTCGACCGTACACAAATAAGACCTTACTCTTAGGTACCTACATACCTACTTCATCAGCTTATGAAATTCGGACTGGTCAGAGACCGGGCCACTGCCCCCTCGGCAGGGCATATTTTAAGGCCCTTACTGCGTCCCATTCTGGGACGCAGCCCCCGCGGCCGCGCCTTGGGACGTAGCCCCTGCTGATTTGACCCACTGCCTCCCTGCCCTGTGCCCTGTCCGGTTCCCTGACCTGTACCCTTTCCTCTAAAATGTCCTGTGTCATGCCCTGTAACCTGCCGTGCCCTTCTTTCTTCCCTTCTCATTGCCCTTCTCTGTTCCTTGCCCTGTGCCCTTAGTGGTAGCACGTGCCCTCTGCTCAATTTTGGGACGCAGTAAAAAATTTGTTTAAATAGGTATGCCCTGCCCCACGGTGGCGCCGCCCTTGCAGTCTAATAGTTCTGTATGGCTGTAAGGGTGGCGATCGATCAGTGTTGTCTGTTGTCCCTGATGATGTCCCTGATGATGATCAGTGTTACTGTTGTCCCATGCAGGATTCTTACAGATATTTACCCCGCGTTCGATGTCTCTCGGACGACGAAGATTCTACGTCGTCCGGCCAATCCCATCCAAGGTCAGCGGGGGCTCGGCTGCGGTTGTGGAACGTGATTGGCCAGACGGCGTAGAATCTTCGCCGTCCGGGAGACATCGAACGCGGGGTTCTAGTCACCGTCATAGATATAAAGACTAGATAGGGCACCCCCATGTCGGGAGCGACTCGCGAATACGTAGCAGCGGCCGCCATATTGGTGAGGGCGAGAATCTGCGGCGCTGTGCGAACACTTTGGGAGGAGGGGGGTGTTTGGGACAGATTTTGTGGTATTTTTCGACCGAAAAGTGTTTATCTTTTTTACCTATGGCATTCTTTGGAATGAGTAGATTGTGAAACAAGGGCAGAAACATGTGTATTTTTTGTAATGTAATTACATCAGCCCTAGACATATAGCCCTGAAGACGCTGATAAAGGATATGCGGCACCGAAGGTAGATGCAATTGGCATGCTAATTTAAGATTAAATTCGTTTCCCATTATGGCTACCATACTTTATATCTATGTATGCAGTATGCAATGGACAGTGATCGACAATAAGTGCAATTTTAGCTCTCACCCGTTCGTAGTTTGTCAGCGTCTTACGAGTAGGGGAAGCCAGGGTGAACGGAGTGAACTCCAGCCGTTCGCCCCTCGACGGAGCAAGAACGGAAAAAATAGGTATGCTGTCCGCGATGTGAGTAAACCAGTGATACCAAATTTCAGGGTACTAGGTCAACAGGTGAACTCGGAGGTCAGGTCAAACACTGGAAATCGAACCAGTAAAGTCACTGGAGTTTGAGATCTTTCGCTATAAAATCGACCAAAACGCGTGAACTGTCGGCGAAATGGGTTACATCATTCCCAATCAACCTCATCTCGAAATCTAGCGAACCGGGTCACATAAGGTCATACAAGGTCAGCGACCTTAGATGACCTCGGATGGCCTTGACACATGGCGGGTCATGTGAAGTGTATTTATGGGCGCCGATCTCGAATCCCGTGTCAATCTTACTTTAAAAAATGATTTGCGGGCACAAATCCGCAAACATAATTAAGGATTACGAATAAAATGAGCAACATGCTCCGAAAACTGCCCATATGAAGCGCAGCCTTGACCTCGAGGCAAATGCACGTTATCTAGACATCAACACTAAAAAAAACGCATGTAAAATGCATAAACATGCACTAGAAGGCAAGGAAATTCACCCGGATGCGGCAAATCGCAAAATCCGCTTATTTTAGCCGAACATGACCTGACCCGAGCTCCGATGACCCATTCCTCACTTTGAATCAATCCGCGCCCCCTACAGGCACCGACATCGCCCTTGCAGACAGCACCGACGATAGTCGCACAGGCACGTGGCGAGCTAGTGTAACTGTAGCCGCGCCTTCAGCCACGAACACCAGTTTGTGCCGGATCAGCCAGCCACGGAGCAGAGACGGCCGGCAACGAATCGGCAATTAACAGTGCTACATATCGACACGGTCACAAGAGGCGAGGCGTTAACCCAGCGCCCACTGCATTGGTCGCCAGTGGACCCACTCAGTCACTAAGCAATCATCGACAAAATACGTCTTTTATCGGCCAGACATTGATCTGTTCATTAATATGAAGTGTCCATCCAAATCCACGCTATCCGCCACACAGCAGCTATCGACGGTAGATACCCACTCCAGCGGCAGCTGGCCGCGACTCACTGACACTGGCTAGAGACAGCTGACCGCTGAAATCACCAACACTTTGGCAGGGTATGAGCGGGTCTCAGTCAGATCCCAGGCATGTAACCCGTCCCCACCTTAGCTCATCTGGCAGAGATGATGAAGAGGTGGTAAAGCTGTGTCATGTCGTCCGGCTGGATGTCGCTCACCAGGGCCTCCTGACAGGTGCTACAGCTGACAGAGTCGAGCGCCTTCTTCACCACGAACCCTGCGATGTAGGTGGCGATGTTGCCCACCAGACGACAGCCCAGGCTGGAAGTCGTGCTCCGTGATGATGTGGAGTGCCGTGGCACCGTTGTCTGAGGTGGTGGAGGCCGAGGTAGTAAGGCTGGCTCCCCGTCCGCTGGTCGTGTGACCGACTGCCAGGATGCTGGTCGGGTCGAGGGCTGCCACTTTCCCTGTGCTGCCGGGCCGGACGCCGCAGCGGTGGAGCAGGTGCCGGAATATCCCGCAGAACTGTGCGGCACTGGGGTTGTTCCAGCCACCTGGAAGGTTCGATTAGTATCAATAAAATATGGCTAATAGTGTTTAGTGTTAACATACGCCAGGCACAAGTGTTGTATTTGTTGTTAACACATTGTTGACACACACGCACACGCACACACACACGCACACACACACACACATGTTGGCAATGGTAAAGCAGTCTCCGGGCATTTGGTAATAATTTTTTGCACTTATTCTGGTTTTAGTGACTGATGGGCCTTTACCCACGCATGACTGGAGGGTGGGGCTCTACAGAGCCTCTCTCCTGTTTTCTGCAATAAAATATTTACATTTATATAATCTATATTATGATTTATAAGATGTCTGTACGTGTGTCATGCCTTATGTGTCTTATTGCGCCTGAAAGGCGCCGCGTATCGGCGTGAAATTTGGCATGCCGAATCGGTGGGTTGATGTCACCTCTGTATTAAAATTTGGGACGGATTGGCCCAGGGGTGCGCCGTCAGCACGCGCTCGCGTGCGCCATAGGGTTAACACGGGAAACGGTCAAATCGAAGATCGGGCGAAAACCGGCCTGCGGCGCCCACTTCCCGGGCCCAAAACTCGGCGACAAATTGCCGTAGCGAGGTGGGGTTGCCACCACTGGATAGAGGAGAGATGGACCTATCGTACTGATGTGGTTTCATAGTATAGCACGCGTCACGTGCAAGA